AGAAGTAAAGAAAAAACATCCATTTCTGACATACCAGGAATTCAAAAAAAAATTCAGTCAAAAGCAAATCTTCGGGGAACCAAAAAAAAAAAAACAGAAGCTTGAGACCAAGACTGCTTCAAACAAAGACCACTCACTCACCACAAAAAAGATCCCAAAAAAAAATTAATGAAATTCCCTTTTGAGCAAATCTCCAACTTTTCGAACAGGAATAAAGCAGAGAGAGAAAATAGAAAGTAGAGAGAGATACCTGCCTAAAGGAACCGAATGAAAGCAAATCTGAAGAGACGAAGAGCTCAAAATCTAAGAAGAGAAAGAACAAGCAAAACGCTTAGCTTTTTGAGATTCGTTACGAAGAAGTCAAAAACCCATAAATCGCTATGAAAAGTCTCTGCAAAATTGCTTATGCATCACCATGGACGACACAGAAACTTTAGAGACACTGAGAAAATTCCAAAATCTGAAGATAGAAAAGTGACAATATGGTGAAAACTACACGGAGAGAGATGAAGATGAAGGAGAGCCAAGTGGGACCCATCACCCTTTCCTCGCTCCTGTACTGTTCGTGATGATGGAGACTGGTAAGCTCGTGCGGGCGTGCCTCCACGCGCTTTCTACCAGCGCGTGAACTGGTGTCTGAAGCAGCAAAATCGCACGACCAAGATATTTCCTTCCTTGTACTGTTTGTAACACGCGCTGTTCGGGATCGTGTCAGATTCAACTTTGGAGTAACAGAGAGACGCCGAGGTAATTTTTTTGGGTGGATGATTTTTGACCACCTGGGAAATGATGAACAGAGAAGAAGAAATGAATGATTGGTAAAATTATAATGCTGAGTAATTGTAATTTATGTATTTATTTATTATTAAATTTAGTAATTATAATATACTTCTATAATGTAACTAAGTTTGAGCGAAGTTGAATTATTATGTATTTATTTATAATGTAATTAACTTAATCCCTCTTGCAAAACCTAATTTCTTTTAGAATTTTCAAGCTTCTAGTCCGACTGCTGTTTTATTTCTTGGTTTGACTGCCATAACTACAATTTGAGAATTGCTTAGGATGTAAGGTATAGATCTTTAAACATGAAGATATAGATATTATGAAAAGGGGGGACAGACTCGTTAGTGAGCACGTCTGGTGTACACAAAACGGTAGCTAGACAGTGCGTAATATAGAGTCTTTAATAGACTTGAGATAAGCTAGCTCGCTAGCTTACTAGAAGCCCATCATACCCGAAACACTTTCATAATGGGGGGTTGATAAAAAAATAACACAATTTTTCGTATTTGCTTAATTGTCCCCCAATATCTTATCATCCCAACCATTCCCCCAATATCTTATCATCCCAACCATTCCTAAGCTAGCATAGGAATGGAATAAAGGGATGCCCTTATCTAAGTCGCCGAGTCGACAAAAAACGAGGATTTATCTTGTTTTATTATCGTTTCAAGGCTACTTTGATCATCACGTCCATTCCTAAACTTGTGAAGGAATGGGATAGACGTGATGTCCTTATTTTAGTTCACTTTTCTCATCCCGACCATTCCTCAGCCTGCACAGGAATGGAATAGAGGGATGCCTTTGTAAAAGTAACCCAATCGACAAAAACGAGGATTTATCTCGTTTCTGTCGTAACAAGTTTATCTTATCATCCGTCCATTCCTAGCCAACGAGATGATAGCGGGATGCTCTATTTG